GCCATTATTGTACCATCATCATTCTACATCATCATCATCATCACTACCATCCATAACCCCTTCACCAAAATCATCTTCTAACACAAATAGTTACCTGCCAAGAGCCCGGAATTTGTTCTGCTCTGCTGAGTTTAGAAAAAGAAAATCTTGCATCAAAAGAGGCTGCATTTGCAGGTCAGCCCTTGATGAAGCCTCAGTGAAATACTCTTCAGAAGCTGAGCAATCAAAAGCTGAGCTTGTTAGCTCTTCAAAGCTTAAGTTATTGGTATCCGTTCGTCTCTTTTTTCTTTCTGTCTTTTTATTTCGTTTGCTTTTTTGGAAGACTTGTATAGCTGATTTTTTATATGTTTTTTCTTTATTTTTCCTGTTTGGTTTGATGGTGTCTGGAGTGATAATTGTATAATTTCTCTAGTGGGATGCTGAATTATTGCTCCTTAATTGGGAAGTATCAGTCATCGCTGAAGAACGTGTTTGCTTCAATGACTAAAACAGCCTATGGCCCAATTAGATGCAACGGGGAAATTGTTGGTTAATTAACTCAATTGGATGCATCTTTTAATCTACTTTTTGAGGTCTCTGAAGAATTTAGTGATTCTATACTTCAATTAGTTACATTTAACCTGATTTTGAATTGTGAAGCTGGCTAAACTGCCTTGTTGCTTTTGAATCAATACCATAGAATCTTGCGATGTATCAATTTTTGTATGAACTTTTTTTGTAGCTTCATCCCCAGTATGCCTAAGTAGTTAAGTAGTTCCAGAAATTTCTGACAAGTTAGTATGTCAATGCATTTTTATCTGGATTGGCCAATGTCAATAGTCACTTCTTTAGAACAGAAACATGGATTTGAATGCTTTGAATAGGCTCAACAATAGGTTAGGTTCTGCAAGTTTCTGGCATTAGCCTATTTTTAGTGTACAGATGCTTTTTCAATTAGGATAGCAAAATCAGGAAAATAGTGAAAACTTTGGTACATAAGATATGGACATGGACATCTGTTTGGTAATCTAAAAGATAGCAGAGAAGGACAAAAGCTTGATTTGCTGTAAAGAAAGTATTGGACTCTAGGGTGAGGCTTAAGTTGCCAACCACAGAATCTGGGAATCCTTTAGAGGCTCCTAGTATAGAGAAGTAACACAAAAGATTAAAGGTTATATGTGATTATTGCAGTTGCAGTTAAATAGGACAGTGTTATTCATCCAGAGATTGTAGAATCAAGAAGCTTGCAGTTACTACCACAAATCAGGACACTGTTTTAGACTCTTCTAGTGGAAGATTGGAGGATGTATTTGTTGCAATGCAATCACTTTGGACTTGAATCAGTGTCTACATTGCCATGGTTTTCAACTTGGCCCATGCCTGTCAGCTGCATGCCTTGAGTAACAACTAAAATTGCATGAAGATTAGTCAGAGAAGACATTGTATATGAGTGCATCAACAATCACAAGAATTACTAGATAATGGATTGGACAAATCAAAAAGTTCCTCAGCTATGTCTTTTTGGCCGGGAAAAGGATTCTATCATTGTTTAATTTGGAATCTGATGTTTAGTGTTGCATATTAGTTGAAAGCACAAGGACATCGAGGCTCCTGCTATGACAATCCTGGAGATTAAGCCTAGGACACAAACCTTATTGCCTATCTGTAAAAGTGAAATCACTTTCATTTCTTTTCATGTTGTATTGAATTCATTTCATTACGTGTTATTTATTTCTGTTGAAGTAAGCAAGGATGGTCACCTCCAATTCTGAACTGCTAATTTGATCTTAGTGCGTTGTCATAGTTTCTTCCACTCAAAGACCCTGTTCTGATTCCATGGATCTTGCATGCCTCTGGTTATGAACAAAATGTGCTCTCCTCCTTCATTTGATTACTAGTGAGAAGACTAGAGAACATACTACGTTCTTGTTCCTAGTGCCTTTAATCTTTTTCCTTTTCGTTTCCTTGCTACTTTCCTTCATTGTTTGTTTTGATTTTTTCCTTGGATTTTTGTTTCTAATTTTTAGTTGCTCTGAGTATGTTAGTAAGGATGAATACTGTCGTATAACATCTAAATCAATAAAGTGGTCTGGAATACATGCCCAAAGGTTTAGAGGTTGAGTCTCTGGTTGGTTGGCTCCCATCTCAAGTTAGGCATGCTTAACAGCCCACTTCCTCAGGAAGAGTTTTGGGGGGGTGGGGGGGAGGAGAAAGAGTTCCATTTATATCATAATGGATTTCAATTATCATTAATCTGTACAAGACAGTACCAGCTTTCCTTTTTGACTCTTTAAGTTAAAAGTACGTGGTCCTGGTACAAGGTGCTTGTTGACAGCAGAGCTATATTTGCAACTGTGAATTCCAATCTGTTGTGACAACAATCAAATTTCTTCCTTTGCAATCTGATGTGTGAAATATGATGTTTTGGTATTTATGAGGCTTCAACAAACCTAAATTGCAGAGTGCAGTTTCTGGGCTAAATAGAGGGCTTGCTGCTACTGAAGATGATCGACAGAAAGCAGATGCTGCTGCCAAGGATCTTGAATCTGTTGCTGGCCCTGTCGATCTCTTGGTTGACATTGATAAACTGCAGGGAAGGTGGAAATTGATCTATAGCAGTGCATTTTCTTCTCGCACTCTTGGTGGAAGCCGTCCTGGACCCCCTACTGGAAGGCTTCTTCCTATAACTCTTGGCCAGGTGAGACGTACTTGCTTAAGAAATCTCCTTAAGTGCTGTCGTTTGACTACAGTATGAGATCATACACAAGAATGGATACTTTGACAATGTTTTTTAGATTTTAATGGCAAAAACAGCGGAATTCTCCTTAATGCTGAAGTGAACGAAAGCCTTAAAAGAGGGTTGCTCCCAGGATATCATGGTGTCCATATCTTCCCTCTCCAGATTGTTGAAACTGTGATTTAGTTTATGGATTGCCCACTTGTTTGTTAGACAAAAACTGCATAATGTAATATCGTGCTTTATTATCTCATCACTGATGGCATAAAGTTTTCTGTTAGGTATTTCAACGGATTGATGTCTTAAGCAAAGACTTTGATAACATAGTTGACCTTGAATTAGGTGCTCCATGGCCTCTTCCACCTGTCGAACTGACTGCTACTTTAGCCCACAAATTCGAAATTATAGGTTGGTGCTTACAATTAAACTTTCTACGTCAGTCTGATTTCAGTGTTTCACCATTTGCATCAGTTTACCACTATCATCATAACCTGCTTGTTGGCACATGTAGGTACTTCCAACATCAAGATAACATTTGAAAAAACTACCGTCAAGACTGCTGGAAACTTATCTCAGTTACCGTCGCTGGAGGTACCACGGATACCAGATTTTTTAAGGCCACCTTCTAACCGCGGAACTGGTGAATTTGAAGTTACCTATCTCGACTCTGATACACGAATCACAAGGGGAGACAGGGAAGAGCTAAGGGTTTTTGTCATCTCATAATTTTCAATGATGAGCTCTATCATACCTGCAGTGACTGATGCATCTCTATCATACTTTCAGAGGCAGTAGATCTACTGTAACTGCAGAAACACGTAAAAACAGGCCCTTCTGCATATGTATGCGCCCACAGACTTGCACTGGAAAACCTCAATGACTAATTTGTCACAATTAATTGTATAGAGATTCATAGATTTGTTTTTGAAGTGCATCAAGAAAGCCATGAAACTATATGTTCCGAGTGGTATCTATAGCCCCTTAAATGGAACTAACTTGATGCCAGAAATATATTCAATGAACCTCTTATTTATCTGGGCTGGTGCTCTTTGGTCATCCTAAAGGTTGAGAAGAAAAAAAATGTTAGAAGGGGAAACTCAATCAATCAAATTTTAAGCTTCATTTTATCTCATGCATTACCAATAACACCCTGTGACTGAAAAGGTACTATTGGTTCTTGTCCCCCTTCCCACAAAGAAAACAAAAGTCGATAGAAATCTTGAGATATGACAAAGCACATTAACTCCTTTTCCCTTTTAGATGAACAAAAGGGCATTGAAAGAGAATCAATTAGTCTTTATGTATTATCCAAAATGTGAAGACAAACAAGTCTACTTTTGGCATATAAATCACAAATAAGGCATGAATTCTCCATTTAGCACTTTCCTCTGGCTGATCCTTCTACAGTTCAGTTTTTGTGCCCAATTCATAGCTTAACATACAATGATTTGTTATTCGCTAATTGTTTCAACAAATGTTATATATTATCTTTAATTTCGATATTGATTGATCAAATGGACACAAACTTCCTCTGAATAATTGTGTGAAGTATGGAAAGAAATTAACTTAAACTAGCATACATTTTTTGAGGATACTCTTTTATGATAACTATTTTAGACTTACTTTACCACAAAACAAAACACGAAATAAGAAGAAACTATATGGTAAGGTATGAAATGCGAATTTCAAAAAAAAAACTAAAAATATTTGGGCTATTTTACAGTCATTTTAAGTATGAATCATAAGCTTTATTTCCTTTTTTATCAAAAGAACTTATTGGCTCTTAGAATTTCATAATAAGACTTGCTGATAAATTTTTTGAAATGAATTCCCGGAAGAAATTGTTTGTACACGAAAATGATGGTTGGGCTGGTAAAATTTCATAGGCCCAACCCTGCTTCCATTAAACCCAAAGCATGAGTCATGAGTATTGAGTAGGCGTCCCAGCTATACACTTAGCCGTTGGAGAGTAACGGCTACTTTTAATTCAATTTCAATAAAATTTTAATTTTTAAACTTCAGAAAACATCCCCAAAAAAAATCCTTCTCATTTCTCAATCAAACTCCTCTTCTTTCCTTTGATTCTTTCCATTCTTAGCTCTCCAAAAATTACTCAATTCTGAATCTCCTTCAACATTCAAATCCCATCTTTTCCCTGTTATCTCACACACAGACACACACTAACTCATAAAGAAATCTGTCATCAGAATCTTGAAACCCACAAGAATCCCAATAAAAGGGTAAATATTCCCATCTTTCCTCCTGATTTCTTGTGCTAAATGCGATGGCACCTACACCATCATCAAAGCCCCATTCAATGATGCAGACCCCTTCATCAAAATCAAATCCAGCCCATAATCAAACCAGAACCCCACAATCAAAGCAGCGTCTAAATTTCAACGTTTCTAAGCCATCTCCGAACCCCAATTCATCAGCAATGGCAAAAGAGAGCAACAACCCACCAGCAGAGCATCCAGTGGAAGTAATAGGCCGAATTCGTGACTACCCAGATCAGAAAAAGAATCCCGCTTCATCCTCAGCCTTGCAGATCAATCCTGACAAACAATCTTTAAGGGTCAAGACTGAAATTGGGTACAGGGATTTTAGTTTAGATGGGGTTTCACTGTCTGAAGAAGAGGATCTTGATGCATTTTACAAGAAATTCGTTGAGTCACGGATTAATGGGGTGAAATTAGGAGATAAATGCACTATTATGATGTACGGGCCAACTGGTGCTGGTAAAAGTCACACCATGTTTGGGTGTGGAAAGCAGCCAGGGATTGTGTACAAATCATTGAAAGATATATTATGGGAAGGTGAAGAAGTGGGTGAAGAAAATGGTGAGAAGTTGGGGCCTGCTACTTTTGTTCAAGTGACTGTATTAGAGATATACAATGAGGAGATTTATGATTTGCTGTCTACTAATAATGGTGGAGGATTCAATCTTGGTTGGGCTAAAGGAGGAAGTGCTTCGAAGGTGAAAATTTCCTCTTTTGTTGAACTGTTATGGTTGTTATATAAAAACCGGAAACTTTTGGCTAACCAATGATCACTTAAGTTTGTTATGGAATGCATGAGATTTGATAGTGTTTATTAGTGCCAGCATCATATTCATGTATTTTCTTGAACTTGATAGTCTTAGAATATACTTCGTTTGTTCTTTGCAGGTTTTTAATGAGGTATTTTAGGTATATATTTGTGGAGATTAATTTGTTAGGCATATGGAAAAATGCGTCTATTTCTTCTTTAGTGATAAAAGTAACCTTCCTCATGAAGAAGATGCACCTTCTCACCTTCAAGTAGATAGGGGTTTGGAACTTTGCCTGTTGCATTTGTAGAATCAGTATTGTCGATTCTAGTTTTTTTGTTGTTATCCATGTGCTCGTCCTGCATAAACCTAGAATGTAGCTGAAAACACTCTGTTTTAGCTAGGACCTTGTACAGTGCCAGACCATGGAGAAGTTGGATTGTAAGTACTACAGTTACAGAAAATGGCTATTAAATGTTTGTTTGGCGGATATTGATATGGTATTACTTTATTTCGTTGTTATGTTGGGCTTGGGCACATCAGGATACTATATTCTTGGTCTTTATTGCGTAGGTGAGGCTGGAAGTAATGGGAAAGAAGGCTAAAAATGCAAGCTTTATTGCTGGTCATGAAGCTACAAAGATATCAAGGGAGATACAAAAGGTGGAAAAGCGTAGGATTGTCAAAAGCACACTCTGTAATGAGAGAAGTTCTCGGAGCCACTGCATGGTATCATTTAGCTTATAATTTGATTGCTTGCTTGTTAACTTAGTCGCTCCATTGCTAACACAATCCCACTTTATTCATGTTTGCAGATAATTCTTGATGTCCCTACAGTTGGAGGACGGCTAATGCTTGTAGACATGGCAGGTTCTGAAAATATTGAACAAGCTGGTCAAAATGGATTGGAAGCTAAATTGCAGGTATTGAATTGCTATGGATAGTAGCTTTTGTGGTGCAATTAAGTTATGATCATGTTCTTCTTGTAACCATGATCATGCTCTCTCTGAAATTCAGACAGCAAAAATTAACCAAGGGAACACAGCACTGAAGCGTGTGGTTGAGTCCATTGCAAATGGTGATTCCCATGTACCTTTCAGAGACAGCAAGTTAACAATGCTTCTTCAGGTACATTTCTTTTGTGGTCTGGTGGATCTTTCATCGCGACAACTTGCCAGCTCAATGTTTAATGACTTTTGTGAAATAATTCCAATCATTTTGTCTAGGATTCTTTTGAGGATGACAAGTCCAAAATTCTGATGATACTCTGTGCCAGCCCTGATCCTAAGGAGCTGCACAAAACCATATCCACTCTAGAATATGGTGCTAAAGCTAAGTGCATAGTTCGTGGTCCTCATACTCCAATTAAGGAAAAAGGTGCGGAAGATTCTTCATCAGCCGTCATTTTGGGGTCAAGGATTGCAGCTATGGACCAGTTTATTTACAAGCTACAGATGGAGAACAAGCTGAGAGAAAAAGAGCGTAATGATGCCCAAAAAGAACTTATGAAGAAGGAAGAAGAAATTGCTGCCCTCAGGGCTAAAGTTGCCCTTGCAGAAGGAAAAGGACATGATACAATGGAGGAGGAGATCAATCTAAAGGCAAATCAGCAGGTTCAGAAACTGAAAAGTGAATTGGAGAAGAGGATACAGGAATGTGAGAAAATGGCAGATGAGTTAATTGAAATGGAAAGGAGGAAGATGGAAAATGTGGTACTTCAATTTCAACAAGAGTCTGAAATGCTTCGACAGCGTTTGAGAGAACTTGAATCTGAGCTGTACAAATCACGGGTTGGAGGTGGATCCCTGGACATGGATGGAAACAACTTTGTTAGGAAGCTGTTGGATACCTATTCTGAAGATTCAGGGATGGTGAAATCAATGGATTTGGACAAATCATATGACTTGGATGCTGGAAAGCAAGAAGTGCTGGTTTTTAAAGCAGGAAACGGTGAAACCAAAAGTTATTTGGATTTTGACAGTAGAAAGAACTCAAGAGATGACAAAGATTATGATGATCTTCTCGTTCGGAGCTTTTCCAGCAAGGGATGTTTGAGCACTGTATTTGAGGAGGATGAAGAAGAAGGTAGTGGGGATGACAAAGAGAAGTTCTCAGATGAAGAAGTTCAGAAAGAGGTAATAGAGGAAAAGAAGGTCTGTTCGAGCACACTGGCAACCAAGGCTCCATCTATTCCTGAAGTTTCATCTCAGAATCAAGACAAAGTAGAGAACTTCAGAGAGACATTAGTGGATAAACTTTTGCAAGCAGAATCACCCAGTGAACCTGAAAGTGCTCAAGATACAGCCTCTTCCAGGCTAATGAGGATACAAAACATATTCACCCTTTGTGGGAATCACAGAGAGCTCTCTCACCACATCAGAACTCCTATGCCTGCCCTAAAGAGGTCCGAGAATATTGACCCCATGGCATCACCAGTGAGGACAACTGAAGAGGGCTCGGATGCAAAGTCAATTAGTGATGTTAAACTGCTTCAGAAAAGCCTCTCCAAGGATCTTTTGGTGTCAGACATCCCTGAAAATTTTCAGACACCGATGGGAAACAAGAAGATGGCACCTAGTTCTTTTGAGAGTACCTTAGCCTCAAAGGAGAACTGCAATCCTATTGATGAAAAAATTGGAGACCTTGATGTTTATGTGAAATGGGAGGCATCAATGGAGAACCCTGGGAAGTTCATCACTACACTAAAGGTTGTCAAAGATTCAACTCTTGCTGATCTGCGGAAGTTGATAGAAATTCATCTTGGCGGAGATAATCAAGCATTTACTTTCCTTGTGCTCGGGGTATGTATATCACCCATGATCTTCTTCTATATAGTAATTTATATGTTATTGCATAGGTCACCAGGTAAAATTAGTCATAAACTGCAGTAGGAAAAAATCAGATACTTTTCGGACATCATACCATGCATATTCTCATCAATATCATAAAGAGATACTGATGTGGCACACCAACTAACACGACTACTAATGTATAATAAATAAAAAAAAGGAAAGCTCATTGCTTTGCACTGTTGTAATTGGCTCAACTAGAAATAATTAATGGCCTTTTAACGAATGACATCTAACTATATTGTTATCTTTCATTCTTTCAAGTTGCAACCAATATTAGTAGCAATTCAATTTAAATAGGACAAATTTGATATTGAACCATCAATCAGAAACAAAACCGTTTCTTGAATTAATTTTTCATTCTAAAATATTCGTTTGAAAACCTCATTCTTTGCAAAAATATTCTTTTGTATCGCATCATAAATACGTTCTTTAATCACCGTTGCCAACTACCTTTTTATTATCACACCTATATTGAACCATAACAAGTGCTGCAGTGTGATTCCAAAGAAGAATTTTCAAATACTCTTGTGTTCCAATACTCTTTATGGAGACAATTTGCTTTAGACTAATTTTGATCTTTCCTCATAACCCTCATTTCAAAACCACAAGGAACGATAACAAGAAAAACTCGAACTAATTTCCTCAATATTCATCTGTGACTCACGGAGGGTTGAGTTGGATGGTAATTGGGAGAAATATTGAACCCAAGACATCCCACTTAAAAAGAAATAAAAGAATAAAAATTGTGATTCCTGGTCATGGATTTAAATGTCAACTAAACTAAATAGCTCTTGCATCAAATTGTCATGCAGCAAAATCATTTTTCTTTTGGGCAAAGGGGGAGTAGTTGTGGAGGTCAAACCAGTTGGCTTGCATAAGAGTTCCAACAGGTGCCATTGACTTTAGGAATTACAGACATCTATTGTGTCATTTCTAAATTAATACATAAACGATTTTCTAGTCAGATTTCGGCAGCAAATGAATCCCATGAGTCAACTGGGAAAAGAACAAAAAGTCACAGTCTCCTTACCGTTTTACATTTTTTCCGTGTCAGGGAAGGTTAAGTCAAATTTGTACCAACTTTTTTAATGTTTGCAAGTTGCCAAATGATCTCTTACAAAATACCATTAAAAAAAAAAAAAATTGCACCATTTGATGAATTGAAAAACCCAATAGGCTAGAGAGTGCATCATCCAATTTTTTATTTTTTTTTGAATAACTTACCAAGAATGAGTTTATCATAGGTAAAAAGTCTTCTTTTTTGTATTTGGGGGTGGGGGTTGGGGGGTTTGCAATTTGTGATTGAATATCCCACCGACAGGCTTTGGGGAGTTTATAGTTTGTAAATGTTTTGTGTTTGGATTGCATTTTCCATGATTTTTCATGGAAAAAATACTGTAGCGATTTGATGTATGTGAGGAAAAAAGGTAATAGGGAAATGTGATCACGGAAAACGATGTAATTTTCCGACGAAAAATCGCAATCCAAACAAGGCCTTAACTTTCTTGGGACCTGGAAACATCACTATAACCAGCCTCTAATTCAGAGAGAAATTAATATGAAATATGAAGTGATGCCATTCTCTAGGTTGAGATTGCAGTCCCTAAAAATGTTTATATACTTTTATGCAATGCTCAAACAATCAAAAAATCCAGTCAAGTCCTTGAATTTTGTTAAATTAATCAATACGGTATGGTGAGGTTAACTAAAAAAACTAATTATATATAAGGTTTTACTTCTTTTCTTTTTTTTTTTGTAGGAAATGGTAACAATCTATCGTGCTCCTGCACTAAGGTGCATTTGATAAAATTAAAATCTGAAATCCGAAATCTGAAATCTGAAAACTAAAATTGAATTTTGTTAAAATAACCAAGCGGTCTGGTGAGGTTAACTAAAAAACTATTATTTATAAGGTTTTATAGGAGCATAAATGGACTTTACTTTTAACCCCAACTAATATATAAGGTTTTAATTTTAAACCCAACTCTTTTTACCATACTTCAAAAGATACCAGAGAAGTTTCAGAGAACGCCTTCGTGTCAAAGGGACACAACCAACAACTTGCCATGATTTCGGTTCAAGATCATACCACCAATTTGAATTCAGCGTACACGCATATGGGTTTTATCGTGTTACATTACAATCCATTTGGGATTGCGATACTTTGATTAAAAAAAAAAAAAAAAGCACTTTTAAGCATTAAAAATACTACTAAAGTGTTTGATAACTAATTTTCTGTAACTTCATAAGTCCAATTTTTGATAACTTAAAATCACTTGTATCAAAAATTATATTTGATACACTACAACTCCAATCAGAGGCCTACAGCTGTTGATATTTTCCACATGGGAGTTTGGATAAGGATGGCGATTGATTGATAAGGCACATAGGTTTAAGCCCCCCACAAGTTCACATGCATGAAGGACAATAATGGATTGTGAAAGGACTATTTTCCTGCAAACAAACAAAGCGAGCATCATTAAGTCTAATTATCTTAGCAAATAGATTTTGGAAAGAAAACCACTGTAGGATCTAAGTTTGTTCATTACATAAATTTTTCACCATCTAAAATTCATGCACTTTTTACAGTTGGGAGTGTTTAGACTTTAAATCATAGTGTATAAATTAGACGGCTACACTGATTACTGGCGAAGACAAATTACACGTATATATTAAGGATTAATCTTTCCTACACTGACAGTGTATACACTATCAACGTTGGATTATTGACAACTATGCAAAATTTGAATTTGAAATTCAACTTTTGCACACATGTCATGAATCTAACGATGATAGTGTATACACCGTCAGTGTAGGAAAGATTTACTCATATATTAATGCTTTTTACATTATCGATCTGAAATTTTTCTTGCATGTACCACTGTATGGTTTGTGACACATTATTATGTCTGTTCATATTTGACCTTTAATCTTTAAAGTATTATTGAAAACTGACGCATTATGTAAGAAGAGATTAGGGTGGGGAAAGAAAAGCAGTTTGATTGAGTCACAAAACCCATAGCAAAAGGCGGAAAGAAGTGTTATCACTTAGTTATCATACATGATCTTCTTGTGAGCGTTGTGACGCCCAACTAATTCGTGTGGTTCTCACTCTTTCTTTTTTCACTTTATGTTTTCTTGGTCCACTTTAAAGCCTTTATATATAAATATGTATTGTCAAAATACCTTTGTGTTTTTTTGGGTAAAAAGCAAAAAAACTCCGTGATAAACCTAATATACAGAAAAGTCCCTTTGTGGTTTCAAAGCGTACAATATGACACTTCATGTTTTTAACTAAATTATAAAGGTGACGGAATCCGTTAAACTTAACGGAAATGACTTATTGGAATCTAACAAAAAATTTATACCTAATTTTTAACAAATATACCTATTCTACCACTTAACAAATAGAGAATAAAACAAATAATTTTGTTGAGTTGTCTTTTACTTAATTATATCAAGGCATGTTTGTCTTTTCATCTATTTCCGTTAAATTTAACAGATTCCGTCACCTTTACAATTTAATTTAAAATACGAGATGTGTGTTAGACATTTTTAGATCACAGGAGACTTTTTTGTGTATTAGGTTTGTCAGCAGGCTTTTCTGCTTTTTACCTTTCTTTCTATTGATATAAATGTGCCTTCACATAGCATTTACAAAAAGAAGCAACTGCTCCATCAAGCCTGTGCCTTTCTTTTACAAATCAAATCACGGGGGAATCTAATTCCCATTTCCCACTTCACATCTGAAATCAGTTCCCATCTGAAATCAGTTCCGAGTTTACATCTGAAATTAATTTAGTAGCAAATCTTGCTGAACAGTTGTGACTCTCTATTGGAGCTTCTACTAACAAAAGTAAAAGTAAGGTACGGTTCCGAAAAGATTCTTTTAGTTGTCCAATTACAAGCCATTCAACCTGTCTCTTAGTACTTTACAGTTAGGTGGAATGTTGATAGATGCCCAATTTTTCTCTAAAGCAAAAAATTAAAGTGTATTTGGTAGCCAAAGCTATCAAAAGCAACTGGTGCAGCCCATGTTGCTGTCCATTCTCCACCTGTATGGCTGTATCCCAAAACTCCTGCTTTGTTCCTGAGCTTATACGAATGGCAACAAATGTTTGTCCTTGTGGGTGCACAGCACAGTAAAGCTATACAACATCTCAAAGAAAACCTAACAGAGAGTCAGTTGGCATGCTGGAGCTAGCAATTATCGATGGTTCACTGCTGGAGGCTGTGAAAAGAAGACTGATTTTACGAAAGGAAAATAACTTCACAATGATGGATAAGGAAGTTATTTTCCTCCACTCGGTATAACTTATTTTCTGTCAGAAATTATTTTCCAAATTAATTGACAGCCTAACAACGAAAAATGTGAAAAATGTTTTCCACCCAACAAACAGACCCATAGTGCAATTCCTTTGCAATAGTGATCAAACAATTGCCTTGTAACATCTCAAGGAAGTCTGAATTAATGAGAGACTTCATCTCTGATCTATCAAAAACAAGTGCATTTGGTTTGTGATCACCAGATCACTCAAAGCTAACGAAGAGTAGTACTATTAGAGCTCTAAAACAACTCGAGCAAAGCGTGCCTACTTGGAGCTTCATGCTAGAGCTAGTTCTATATTTCACAAACAAGAGAAACATCTGATGTCAATTGAGTGTGCTCATGGCTCGTGTCAAAGGGCACAGCTTCAGATAAAGAAGGCCGAGAGGAGCCTCATGCTTTGCAACAATTTGAACAAGCCTCTATAAATTTTCAGAATAATTTATATGCTACCGAGTTGCAGTAACATTATAGTACAACATTATCTCACAGAAACTAACACAAAACTTAAACAGCAATATTCTAGTAGTAGATTACAAAGCAGACATATAACCTGTAAGGGTACATCGGGTATCCTCCTTTTTGAGTAAGGGATAAGTCTCTGGAGGAACTATGATGGCTATGATAAATACCTCCAAAGAGCCGGGCGATCTCTAGATACAAGGAGAACACGAGAAGCTAGGTAGTCAAAAGAAGGCGAATACAAGTCATCTGGTCCAATCACCTCTCTGACATTCCACATGTCTTTACCAGAATCAGTATCAAGCGACTGCAATACATCATCTTTCAGGGCATCAAATACAAAGAGGCCTTGTCCGTTAACTCCTATGACGAGTTCAGAATTTCCCCAAACTTGAGTAATAGCTGTGAAATGGGAGTGAGCATTTGATTCTGGTACAACATAGGTGCTATAAAGCCTCTGTTTGCGCAAGGAAAATTGTTGGATTTGAGAGCAATGCTGCTTTCTTCCTGCTGACCTTAAATTAGTGCAGCCCATAAATACAGAATCACCACGTGAGAAAGTTGACTGCACATCAACACCAACTTTAGGAATCTTAAGGCCTATTCCAGATGGTTGGCGAAAATCTAATACATTGATGAAATCTGAGGTGCAGAAAACACCATCATTGCCTTCAGCCTCAGAGGAGCTCACTCTGCACATGAAGAATACACACATTAGCAAATATACATAAAGAATATATACATAAAGAATGTTTTCTTGACCATCGCCAAGTGTCTTAAAATACTAAGTTGCTAAAATATCTGCCTCTTTAAAATGCCGTGACACCAAAAACTAGGATGCTTGCTGGAAAGGAAAATATGAATTGCCAAGGAACTGTAAGAAGTACTGATTCAAACAATACTATGAGATAAACTAACTGAAGACACCATGAGCTTCAACTTGCAGCTGACAAGCTTTTGCAAGAATGTATCAACAAGTGACTCCATGGGCGGGAATCAAATGTTTAAAAGAACATAAAGTACTCAAAATGCATTGAACTGGATGAAGTAAGTTAAACTGTACCTCTGTCGAACTCCTCCGCCCAATTCAGCATCCGTATTGTTCACGTGAAGAGCATCAATTTTCCGGTTGGAAGACGAAATAGATGACAATGCTTGAGGATGAAGGGAGCTGACATCCCAAAGGGAAATAGCTTCTGATTCAGCAATGACTACCTTTCCTCTATTTCTCCACTGCAAAGGGCTAGAGTAATCCATTCCCAGCACAGGTTTCTGCAGCTCCCATTTCATTATGTGCTCTCCATCACGAACGTCATAAACTCGTACCATCCTCTGAGAACTAGCTGCAGAAACAATAAGCGGTCCACAGGGTCTATACCACCACTGTTGGTTCTCTGGAGCAATACTTGTTGACAACACATTTCTTCTGAAAATTGTGTTATTAGGAAGGGGAGCAAGGGCTGTTCTAGCAGTAGAAAGTCCAGTTTCAGCATGAAAAGCTCGTACTTCTTTGGTATAAAAATCCCACGAGCAAAAACCTGAGACCACTGAATTCCCAGCAGATGCAGCAACAACATATCGTCCAGAACAACCATCTGCACTAGGAGCACGGATTAACCAACAATCTCTCCACATATTTGGAGAAACTCCATGAGGGGGCTTGTAAGTAGCCTTTCCCTGCAAAAAGAGAAAGCATAATCTCAAAGTATACCCCTAGGTGTCGCAGTATTACCACTTACACGGTCCCCTAGGTATTGCAATATTAACGCTTACACAGTTGCTGTGTCTTAGCTGCATAAACATGAAAAACACAAAAAAACCATTGAACATAACATTTCAGAAGCCACATGAAATGTATTTCCAGCAAAATAAATGCGGAAAGCCGGAGTATTCTCAGGCCGAATTGATGCCTATGTGACCTAAAATATAATAAGATGATTACAGAAAACTATAATCCTAAAGCACAATGGTAAGATAGATGGATGGCTACAATTACTCAGAGTTAATCGATGTAAGCCTTCATTCACTCTAGCCCTTCCAATCCCCCAAAATGTTGAATACCTTGCATGCCTAATTGGCTCTTTACATTTAATCAAAATTTTCATAAAAATCTAATCTTCAGTGCAGTAAAAACATAGCCATATACACAAACACAAGCAACATTTATCCTTCTTCCTCCTATTTCAGATTGTAAATTATGACTTTCAAGGTAGACGTGTCAGGTACGAATTAGATACTAAATAGTCAACAATGAGTTCCACTAAATAGCAAACATTGACGTGTAAACATATTTATGCAGGAAAAGAAATATGCAAAAGAAAGGGAATAAATTAGGCATTTATAATGAAGTTCCAAATTGAAATTGACATCCATACCTCACTATTAATTATGTCATAGAAGGAACACGAACCATCATCATGAGCAAGAAGAACTGATTCTCCCTCTGACACAAACCAACCTCCTGTTGTCATCTTCTGTCCAATTTGATTCAACTCATACAAAGAACTATCTTCTGTCTCTTCTTCAATAATCATTCGCGACATGTTTTCTTGGTCGTCAAACTCTTCAAGCTTTTCATCTGCTAGCAGTGTAAGATCAAATGAACCTTTTCCATTCAGAGAGTCTGAGAGACGATTATTCTCTCTGGAAGTTACAGCTCCATCCGTCTCTTGGACTTCACTAATCTCCGGACCAAAAGTCCCAACTCTTATTGTATCCTCACACCTCCCCTGACTGAGGAAGCCAAGAACTCCATAGCAATAGGATTCTCATCAACAGGACTTATTGACTTCTCTACTTTCAATTCACCATCTGTCACTACAACTTCAATCTTGTGACTTTCAGCACTTTCAGAGGCTGATTTCTGCGATGTCCTATCTCTAAGTAACTTATGATGTGGAAACAATCTTGCTTCTAATTCATTTGCATTCAACGCCTTAACCAAACTCTTTCCTTCATCCACTTTGTTCACTTGCATCTTCTCCGATGCTTTAACTTTCTCAACATCAATCTCAGAACTTGCTACCACATTAGCCTTCAGATCATCATCGTTGTTGCCAACACTACCCATTGCCTTCTCAATCCCTGTAATCTTTTCCTGGATATCAGACAAAATCATCTTGAATTATCGGGATTGTTCAAATCCAGCATCTCCTTTGTTCTCTTGATATCTGAGGCAATCCTCCTCACCTTCCCTTCCAAAAAAGCAAGCTTTTCATGAAGTTTACTTGGATACTTAACATTGGCACTTGAACCACTGACCCCATTTCCATTTCCATCTTTAATCTTCAAAACACCACCCGATCTGTTCATATTTTTGACTCCTTAGTTTTTGATTCCTTGGAATTAATTTCACTAACGTCTTTTTCCTTCAATGTCCCAGACAATCCAGCTGCTTTATTCCCCATTATGGAGCCCCTCAATTCACCGCCATCTCTTTCTTTAGGAATCATCAAACTCAATTCACCACCATCTCTTTCTTCATGCTTCATCAAACTGAAGATTTTGATTCTTTTTACTAAATTCAACACCATTTCCCAAACAAGATTCCACCTTTTCATCCTTAATATTCTCAATTTTCACGTTCCTACTCAAATTCAGCTTTTCATCAGAATCATCCAACTTGAATTTTACCGAGTTTGAGCTCAAATTAACCTCTTTTTCATCATAAACTTCACCACTTTTTATTAAATTCTCTGCACCCCCCTCAGAAGCTCACTTTTTCACCCACTTTCTCATTCAAACACTTAAAGCTCCCTCTTTTTTTCTCCACAGACGAATTCCTAGATTTCCCAGAACTCAATAAACCTCTATTAAACTCGGAAGGGCTAGAACTCCTACCTCTCTGCACCGACACCTGCACCGGCCGATGAAGTCGACCATCGAGGACGTCCTTCAACCCGTTATTGGCAAACCCATGAAAGCCATTACCCACTCCATTTGCGGCAGATATTTTATCCATCCTAGGCATGGCTTTCATGATTGGCTTCTGGGATTGCACCATCGCCGCCCGCCCCTAGATGTAGGCCTTGAGTTCTCCTTTCCGGCGGGCCTCTTGAGACTCTCTTTACTGCCGCAGCCACGGCTGAAAAGAGGTTTTTCAGATTGTGGGGTGAGGGATTTTGGGTGTTTCAATGTGGTGGTGGCGCGCGTGGCAGTGATCTTCGCTCCGCCGCCGCCGCGTTCCTTAAGCCGGCGAACTGATGACATAGTAGACATAAATATGATTTTGTCTGCCAAAAGTTGTTGGAATGTTGGATTTGAGGTGTGATTTTAGGGTGAGGAAAATGAGGTTTTGTATGATTTTGTGAGCTTTTCTTTGGTGTTTTTAAGGTACGAATTAAGGTTAAGGATAGCGAGTAGACGATGAAATGTTGGTGACGAGGGAAAAGCCCAGATTTTTGTGATTTTGAATTTTGAAACTTGCCGGGTCCATATGGCAGCTTTGCCGTCTCCGATTTTAGGGTTAATTTCAGAAACCTCCCCTGAGGTTTCCCCTAATCACACTTAGCGCCCCTTAACTTTGAGAAATCACACTTACCACCCTTGGCAGAATGAAGTGACATGCTGTACCAATCAGTAGAGGAGAAATTACAATGCTACCCCCTATTATTAAGTAATTCTTGTGCAGGAAAATGCCGTAAAAATTAAAAAATTGAGGCTATATTAATTGAAAATTGAAAGAACAACATTGCTCTCATTTTTGGCGCACAATTTGAGCGCCATTTTTGTTATCTTGTAAAGTCAATATAATGGAGTAATAGGTGTACATTAGCTTCTTCGCACTATCATTAATTCCAGGATCATGTACAGGGCAATATGCCTATGATAGTTTCAGGTCAGGGGAGTAATATAAGTCGTGCACAACAAAATGCTACTTTGAATGCCCAAGTTAATTTGCAGGCTAGCACAAGTGCTGCTTTAAAAAAAAAAGTAAGCATTATCATGCCAAAGATTCATGATCAAATTGATCCCGAACAAGTGCTTTTTTTGCTGAACAATAAACCAACATAATATTGATTAAGTTGTAATTTTTTGATGTAGAAAGGGAGGCCTTCAAAGAGAACCAGAGATGCTGTGAACAATGTCACCTATGATGAAGTTGTAACTCCAACATGGGGATAGCAAAACCCCTCTGGACCACCTATACAAGCTACTCAAAATGATGGTTCTCAACCTAGAACTTCTATTAGCATCAACACTTCTACAACAGAGACTTCTCACACTGTATCAGAGCATTTCAAGTGGTTTTAACGATGTTAAAGGCTCCCTGCAATCCTTACTCTTGGTTTTTGAAGTAGTACAAGTACTCTTTATTATCAAAATGTATGATAGAAGACTTATTGTATTTTTGGTGTATTTCATCTGGTGGAATATGCATTGCCATATACTAATCTTATAATATATAGCAACGCATTGATGCACTAGTTGCTTGGAAAGACACGTTGATGCATTAGTTGTACGGACAGATATGAATAGTAGACATTTTTTGGAATCTTAGTTTGGCTTAGACTTAGCTAAACATGTGACCGTGGGAAGTACACATCTGATTGGATTGTCACAAGTACCATACAAAACAGGCTCAATTTCCCAACTTTCTACTTTGAATTGCCTATGACTATGAAGGCTAAAACAGTTGGTAATCAATTACAGCATTGCATGTTGTACTTGGACTTCATCAAATTGATTTTGTAATCTGAATAAAAATGTAGATAGCAATCAGTGTTAGATTGATGCACCAGTTGCTGCAATTTGCCCAAAGAAAATCGATGGTGAATGATGTTATCTTGTTTCCAATCTGCTTAATATAGCTTAAGCACCAAACAGGTGGGAATGGTTTTGCCCAACGGTCCTCTATAGTATCAATGTTAAGAAGCTTCTTGTGCTTGTTACACTTACACCTCTTTAGCTTCTAAAATACTATCACAACATAGTTTTGTTTTTATTTTCATCTTGTAAATTCAAAACTCATCTTCCAATAGGGCAAAAAGTGGAATAGAAAAATAGTCTCTCTCCTATAAACAATTTTTAAATATAATTCTTACACAAAAGGGCTGACAATGTGATAAAAGTTGTCATTCTAAGGGTGGTAAATATGATTTCTGAAAGTTGGGGGTGCTAGGTGTGATTAGAAAAAATCTCAGGGGAGGTTTCTGAAATTAATCCCCGATTTTAAGGCGATTGTTGTTTGTTTAGATTTTACCAAAAGATCATGGAAAGTGATTATAGAGAATAATTAGAATCTATACATATACAACTTACTTGTTGATCGATTATAAATTTTAATTTTTTATTAAAAAAATCTATAATCTGAATATAAAAATAAATGTGAATATTATAAAATTTAATTGTCTAAAATTAAAATCTACAATCAGTTAAAATAATAAATTAAAAATAAGTGCTAAGTTGTATCGAATATTGGTCATTTCTATTACATGATTACGTGTGTTTAGACAATAAATTGTCATAAAAAAATTTTAGAATATTATTGTATTTCTTTTTTAGTAGTGTAATGTATATGAGATAAAGAGATAATTGAAAAAAAAAAAAAATGTATTTATAATGATCCAAGATAGAAATTTTCTCCAAATAATCACTTATCCAAATGAGTGTATTTGGATAAGGCATTTGTTTGCAAAGAAAGAAAAAATAAATTTGATTACATCATAAGAAAAAAGAAATTTGATTACATCATAAACACATTTTATTAATATTTTTGATTTTCACAATCACCATATTATCTTATATATATCACATCACAAAAAGGCACTAATAGTACAATGGTGTTCCAAAAAAAAATTCAAAATTATCTCCTACCAAACACTAAAAATACATGAACTCTTAGAATATAAAAGTGAAAAAACAAATGGTTAAATGATTGAAACGTGCTCTTGATAAATTAAATTGTATGCATATTTGTTTATGAGCGAATTTTTCAATAAAAAGGATAATTTTATTCCAATATCTAAGCTCATGGCAAAAAGTATATCAAACATGACAAAGATACATAAATTTGATAATAATCTAATACAACAAATCGAAAAAATAATAAACTTGATCATAACATTGAAATTTTAAAAAAATCTTCCATCAGATGAATATCACTATTGCCCAATAAATCTATATGCATATGTTCTAATAAATCAAGATTTTGCTTCTAAGATCTATCAAATCTCAAATCTAGAAAATGAAACAGACAACAAAATATTCTTACAAGGATATCTTAGAAGAGTAAAATTCCCACTAAAAAAATTGGTGACTACCCTTTGGGTATTCAAAAAAAATTTCCTAGATCCATTGTGGCATGTGGGCATGACAAGTATAGATTAAGTCACCAACTCCAAACCATAGTTATTAAAATCAACCCGGTCATCAACCCAGCGTGAGGATCGAGTTGGCAGGTTAGTGGTTCAATCGCAATTCACTGGTTGAACCGTTGGGTCACACTATATAATAAAAAATATGTTATATAATTAAATAAACACATAAATTATAGTAAAAGTAGTTCAAAACGTCCCTCACATTTTATGAAATAATTTTTTTGTTTCTCACTTTTAAAAGTGTAATCTTACGTCTCTTACAAATTCACATTAATCAAATTTAGTCCATACCTAGATTTCCGACTAGTTTTTTGCAAGAATTCACTGTGTGTATTGCACGTGATCATTTTTTAAGGCAAAATTATCAAATTAGATTTAACATAATTCGATCCATAGTTCCTCACATTTTATAAAATGAATCTTTTCATCCCTTACATTTCAAAAATGAATTTTTTCATCCTTCGTTGATCATGTGTACGAATAGTTTTTTTTAAACTCGCACACACACACACACACACATATATATATATTTGATTTTACTAGAATAGTACGAATAGCATTTAATATATCTTTATTTGATTTCGTCTGAATGTATATACACGGGTTAAAAAAATTATTAGTTTTTTCACTCATTTTCATTTCTTTTTACTCAAAAAATTGAAAACAAAGAAAATATTTAATTCTAAACATTATTGAGTGTTTATATCAAATTAAATTTGGACAGAAAAATAAACAAAGGAAAAGTATGAAAAAAAAAGAAGTAAGTGATTGGTACTTTAAATTTTAATTAATCACAAGGCAAGTAGTTCAACTGTTGGTCTTAAAATTGGTAAGTAGAAATTTCAGATTTAAACTATAATTTGTTAGTATGACTATAGAATACAATGCCTTGTTTGGCAGACAAGTTTTTTATCAAGTTTGTCTACTACAAATTTTTTAAAAACTTTAACTACAGTAACATTAAAAAACTTCTCAAAGTTTTAAAACTATACA